GAAATTGAATAGCTCCGTTATATCATTTATGACTTGTGTGCCAAATTTGAAGTCATTCCGGATTCATTTAATATGTTTTGGTACGAGATTTGCAAATTGAAAAGTTTAAAACTCAAAGTTCGAATCGAGGTGTGAATTATAATTTTAGTATTGTTTGACGTGATATGAGACCCCGAGTAAGTCCGTATTATGTTATGAGACTTGTTGGTATATTCGGACGGGGTCCCAAGTACCCCGAGTGTGATTCGAATCGGAATCAGAACAAGAATTGGACTTGAGCAAAATTTGAAAGTTTGCTTCTTCTAGTGTCTTCGCTTCTGCGAAGTCTTGGCCGCAGAAGCGAGCCATTCCTCGCAGAAGGGGACAGTCCGCATAAGCGGATGGGCTATCGCAGAAGCGCGACCGTAGAAGCGGCCCACGCATCGCAGAAGCGAGAAAGGGGGAAGGGGCAGCCTTGCATAGAAGCGGACTCCTCTTCGCAGAAGCGAGTCCGCAGATACAAAAATTTGGTCCGTAGATGCGAAAAAAACCGGGCAGCTCCCTTAAATTCGGAAATCATCATTTTTACTCATTTTGGTCATTTTGAGCTCGGTAAGGCAAATATTTGGGCGATTTTCACTGGAAAAAATTGGGGTAAGTGTTTCTTATTCTATATTGATTATATTTCATGATTCCATACTCATTTATATCATGAATCCGTGAATTTAGCGAAGAAAAATTAGATTTTTATAAAATCTTTCAAAAAAATAAAATTTTAAGATTTGAAGGTTTATTTGACATCGGAATTTGATAAATTTTGTATGGTTGGACTCGTCTCGGAATGGGTGTTCGAATTTCGTAAGTTTTTTCGAGATTTGAGACGTAGATCCCACTGTCGAATATTTAAATGAATTTTTGATTTTTATCCGAAAAATTAGTAAATTCATATGGAATTAATTCCTACGATTTGTATTGAGTATATCTAATTGTTTGTGAATAGATTTGAAGCTTTTGGAGTCAAATTTAAAAGGAAAAGTTGTGGTCGAGTAATTGATTGAAATTGCAAAGCGAGGTAAGTGTCGTGGTTAACCTTGACTTGAGGGAATAGAACTAGGGGTGGGCATCGGTCGGTTTGGTTCGATTATGAATATTATCGGTTTAGCATATCGGTTATCGGTTTACAAATATGATAAACCGATAAGATATTAGTTATCGGTTATCGATTAATCGGTTATTGATCATTATCGGTTCGATTATCGGTTTACCCGATAAGATAACTCAATCTAGAGTTAAGCAAAAACGAGAAGAGCAAAACAGTTTTAAAACTCGTTTCTAGCCACAACTAAAACAGTTTTATAAAACAGTTTTATATCAGTTCTGGACAGTAGACACAACTAATTGTGCTAATCTTCCTGCTAGCTTTGACTTAATCTGACCCCTGCAATACAGTTGTTGTATCACATGTCTTACCAATTGTGCTAAAATAATTTTATATCGACAACTAATATTCAACGTAATCAACACTGCATTGAACAAAGAATCTACAACAAACATAATTAAACACTACATTGAACAAAGAATCTGCGACTAATATTCAACATAATGTTGCTGCTACAACTTTCTAGTTTCCAACACTACAAACATCAACATAATTTTGCTGCTAAGCCATAAAATTTTCAACTAATAGTTCAACACTACAAACAGTTGTCCAATTGTTTGAAAGAGTAGGGATGACATCGATAGAGTCAAACACAACTAATAGTTCAAACACATTAATAACAATACAAAGTAGTACCAATTTCACCTTAATATTAACAAGTCCAAACATAGTACTAATAGTTCAAATTCAAGTTAAAAAGAAAAGAGCAATGTAATGCATGGTTATTCCAATGTAATCTGATGTGTGGCTATAATTTCATAGTTTCGTACATTATGTGTCTTGCATTTTACATACTTTAATGATAAATTACACTTTATTTATGCATAATGGAGTCTATTTTATGTGTAGGTGAATTGGAGATGAAAGTAGAGAAAAAGGGATACTTAAACGTTGAAAGTGTGCTCGAGAACAGTGAAAAGAAGAGACCTAGCGAGGCCAGGCTGGACCAGGCTTTAGCCTGGCGAGGCCAGGCTGGACCAGGCTTTAGCCTGGCGAGGCCAGCCTAAGGCCAAGCTGAACCAGGCTTTAGCCTGGCGAGGCCAGCCAAATTTCAGGCGTTAGGCTGGCGATGCCAGGTCTGAGGCCAAGCCCAATCCGAGTTTTGAAGACTTAATTCGTTCCGGGTTTGACTAGGACTCGGCCCACACATTTAGAGTTTCTAATCAAATATGTTACTACTGACTGCACACTGCAGTACCAGTAATTTCTTTTGATTGGTGAATGCACTACCAGTAAGGTTCTATTTTCATGACAAAATCTTAAAAAATAAATTAAAAAAATCTAGACTTAAGGCAACTGAACAAAATACATATTGATTTTATACTACACCTACTTTCTCTGTGATTTTACAATTAATATTCTCAGAAGTTTTTCATTCTTAAAGCTGATTCTATGATTTTCTAGACAACGAAGTTCCATGTAGACAATGAAGATAAAGCAACTAAAAACTTACACGAAGAATGAAGATGAAGCTGAAGAATGCGGCTGAGAAATGTGAATTGTGAAGCAATTGAAGAGTGAAGAGTCTGAACTCTGAAGAATGCGGCTGAGGCTGAGAAAGAATAAGAAAGAATGAAGCCCTAGCATATCTGCATATGTATATACTTAAGGGTAAAGTAGTAATTTTGTTAATCCTTATTGGGTTGTCGGTTAACCCAATAACAGAATTGCCAAACCGAGGCCCGAACCGATAACCCAATAGTAAAAAAATTCTAAACCGTTACCGAACCGTTAACCCAATAACCCAATAAATAATTAACGGTTCGGGTTATCGGTTTTACCCGATATATGCCCAGCCCTAAATAGAACCCTTAAACTATTTGTTATATGAAATGCATGTGAATGGCGTATAGGCGAGGTGACGAGTGTCTATACATCGTCAAATTAATTGTTTGCATATTTACTTGAAAATTCATAAATTATTTCAAATCATGAATTAATTGTTATAATAATTGTTTCTCTCCTATTCTTTGTCAAATATTAATTCTTGAATTTCTGTAATAATTGCTACATCTTATTTGAATTATGTATATTAATTGCTACTTGACATTTAGCATATTAAACATTATACTGCCTATTATCTCCCTGATTTCCATAATAAATTACTATTTCTCATTGTTTATTTTATAATTAAATCATAATTATTCTATTCTTGTTGTCTTAAAATTTTATATTAATTGTTGCATTTATTGGGGCAATTTCTTCTTTAAGGATAGGTAAATGAATATATTAGAGGATCGGGTTACACGCCACAACAGACTATACAAAAAGTTCATATTGGAGGATTGGGTTGTACGCCACAACAAACTTATTAAAAGTCTATACTGGAGAATCGGGTTGAACGCCATAACAGACTAAATAAAAAGTCCATATTGGAGGATCGGGTTGCAAGCCGCC